GGCTTACGGCACCATTTTTCTTATTTTCAATACATGCTAAGATCTCTCCCTCCCCACTCCGTCTCAGAAGTGTTCCCCTGTGATAGTTCTGAAGAGACTCTGAATAGGCATTTTAGTTACTTCCATATCAAATATAAAGCCACTTAGTTAAAATTTATTTAATTCTAAAGAATAAATGTTAGTGTATTTCACAGTGATGAAAACCTCAAAGACTTATTACTCCCTTTTCACTGCCATGCTAGAAATTTTGAATACTTATTGTCATGATCGCACAAGCACAGGCAAAATCGGGGTTAAACTGTTTATGAAGGTTATACAGAATCTTGACTTCACAGCATTTTCTGCTATTTGTCAATTGCTTGACACTTAAAAATTTTGTGTTAGGAGTTTTAACTCCTACAAAAATAAAAATCAAATAAACTCTGTCTTTTTAATTTCCTAATTCTTGTGGAAACAAAAGCCAGCATTAAGAAGATGTTTTCATAATTATGCTTTCATTGCAAGATCAGATCTAAGGCATACATTCTTCAGTGCAAAGTCATCACACACTACAGAGAGAAGACAAAACCCCCTTCATTCTCCCCTAATAGATCCTACAGGTACATGTGCAAAACCCAGCAAGACTGAAATAAAGATGGACACAATGTACAAGATACTTGAGTAGTTAATATTTGCTCTATGGTTTTACAAAAAAAAAAAATCAAATATTACAGAGATTATTACATTATATCTTTGAGTAGTCTCAGTGGCCAGCAATTTCAAACAAGTTATTAAAATCCAAGTAAGAGTTTACGAATGGCATTCCCAAAACCGTCCAAGTTTACCAGACCAAGAGCAGCATTTGTTGTCACAATATGACCATCATCATTTAAACACACACATACTAATGTAAGTCAAGCCCATACCATGTATCTTCAGACTGGAGTTATATATGGAATAAATTTACAGTGTTTTGGTAAATACATATTCAACATGAAGAAACATAAATAGTGACAGGAATATAACAATAACCTTGAACACAAATAAACCGTAAGCTTAATCAAGTACTTCCCTGAAAGAAACAGATGTCACAAAGAGATGCTCTAAATATTTTTCTTACTATTTATTTTTTTGGTTTTTTTCCTCCTTGCCTTTTTCACTTCTTGACAAACTATTAATTGCAAATCACGCCAACTGCAAGGGACGACTTTGAGACCTGGGCACAACGAAACTTAAAAAAGATGTTTTACAGAAAGGCACACACATCGTAAGAAAAGGGAGCTTGTCTTAACCACTCACCCAGCAGGCACACATTCTTTAGTGCCACTACTCCTCACGCGGGAAAGAGCTACCAGGTTTTCTCACTGCTCAATATTCTCTCTAACAACAGCAGGCAGTCTGCACTTGTACAATACTTTTCCACACGCATTTTTCAAAAAATCTTCCCAAGCAACATGTGCATGTCCAATATCATTTTACATTTGGAGTCACAGACAGAGTGACCTAATGCAGTTTAGCAAGTTGAGAGTGAACCAGAGTTACAGTCACTTGCCTTCCATCTGTGCCCAATCAAGCAAGAGGATAATGATCCAAAATATTACAAAAACTTCAGCGAAAGTGGAATCTGGAATGCAGTATATAAGAATGAGCAGAAACCTATTCACCCTTCAACCTAACAAAGCCAAGAAGCTTTCCATGTTGCCAATTACCCTAAGTGTTCCAATTAAAACTCTTTTGATAATAAATAGTAACCAGGTATCTTCTTTACCTAAAACTAATAATGTAATCTTGAAGGACCAAGCCTACAGAAGACAAGAGTCAGCAATTTAGCACATCCTATATTCACTTTTCAGCTCCCTCCTGGGGAAAAACCTACAACCTTCTGGTAACATGAGAGATGCATATTGTACAGCTGTGGCAGTTTCTATAATGAAACTCCAGATATAAATGATAATATCCATAATACAAACTGTAATTCTAAAATATATCTGAATATGTGTGTGTATACATATATATCTAAAAAGAAAATTATCTAATTTTCTCTTTTATACACATATAAACATCTGGCTAATATGCCCCATAAAAATTTTTCCTTATTTAGGACTAATCTTTTAAATAACAGAGTTTTAAACAGTCCCTTAGAATATTTTTCTTTAAACACTATTCAAAAATGAAGAACTATCTCAGGGTAATCAAAAAGCAAACACAAAATAAATTAACATCATACAAATGTGGTTATACTGTTCAGAAAGTCCAATTCTCCCATTTGAAATGAAATGGAGACCAGTGTACCTTAGGGTGAATTATTCATCAATGTACAGAATCATTCTCTCTTTCCATGTAAATCTTCATGTGAATTTTGCTGCATTTCCATAAAGCAAGAAACACAGCAAATCCGCAGAACTCTTGCAAAAGGGAGTTGTGTTTCACTGGATAAGAGCAGTTTTTGCTGAAGGTCAGCAAGTCAACATTTTATCACCATCTGAACACTAGCAACACCTGTGCCCTAGTAAGCTTCATACCTTGAATTAGCAGCAACATATTTGATGGGTTCAGTAGTAATTTTTCTTCCAGTATTGGATTAGACTACTTTGCATATACAGTAAGTCAAAAGTCTAGTACCTGTGTGCAACATTAATCCACATTTACATTTGAGAACTCATAAATACACATGGAAACAAAGGTGAAAGAATTAAACCTCGTTTTAAGTTAAAATGTTTTCAGTCCACATATAGAAACAGCAGTGAAAAACAAGTATAAAGGAGATGGACAGCAGAAACAGAAAAAAAGGAGTACAATAACTAAAACTGTAAGAAGCAGGTCACTGTTAAAAGGGCAAGTTGAAATTAAAATTGATCAACAGAAGATGTAGACTGTACCATCTGCATAAATGCTTAAATGCAGCATTATTTTGCACATCACATACAGTAAATGTGATTTCTAAGAAGCATATTATAACAGCTGGCTTGCTTACTAATAGATTTATGGTAACTGAATACTTAATTTCTCCAGCTTTTAATGTACAGTAGGTTATGCATTAGCCTTTAAAGCTCTTTGTCAGCCTTTTAGAAGTCAAGGTTACATTTCCATGAATATTTAGCGTCCCAATAAGAAAGTTACAAATATTCACCTTCAATGAACTTTCATACAATACAGACATTAAATACCTTCTTAAGCTGAATCATTTCAATACTATTAGTTTTCTTTTTGCATTTTCAAAAGAAACACAAGGACCTTTGTAACTTCCAAAGTGAAGGGTGTTTTAAGGCAGTAAGAGATATGTATTAAGGTTTCCATGATTGTTTATGGTGTCTATGTTAATAAAGCATATTACACACAATTGCTCTCATATATTTATCTACATGACTTTGTTATACTGTACATGATTTAGCAATCTTCTTGAGAAATTTAAAGTGCCACAGTTCAAATGTGCTCATCTGTCTTTTCATGGGCTTCTAGTCCATTCTAGTTGCTTTCAGAAACAAGCCCTTGCTTTACTTAAAGAGCAGTCTTTTTAGGGGAAAAAATAATTCATCCTTCACTGCTGGGCTAACTGGAATCCAGTGGTCGAACCAATCCTTCTTTGTAAACACGAAGAATAGCTTCACAAACAAATTTGTATTGACTCTGTATAAGAAAGAAAAAACAAAAACATTTATGGATGATTAGTTAAACTCCTGATTATACAGTAGTATTTAAGAGGACTAACAGTCCCACTGCTTCCTTTTCTCCTGGACAATGACAGGAGAGGAGATACAAAGATGGAAGGAGAAAATCCAACTCTCCTGGCTGTGTTCACAGTAAAAAAAGGTAACATTTACTCTTTGAAGGATAAGCATTAAAAATCTCACACCAAGGAAAAAACAATCCCCAAATTTAAAAGAACACATGCTTAAATCTCAGGGAATAGGATTTATTTGTAAAAACTATGCAAATTTATATGATTCTTCTGACTTTAAGTTCAACTAGTTATTTATGTTCTTTATACATCTCATCTATTTTTTTGGTACTGTTACCTGATTATTACAAGTACTCTAACCTTGCCAATCCTGCATTTACATATTACTGGACACATTTAAGTTTCATGACCAAAAACTCATTTAAAGTTACCATATAGAATATATAGGTCCAACTGCCTTGCTAGAATTTTTTTTTGTTTTCAACTACCTACACTATTGCAGAAGATGCAAGTTGCTTTATTTTCAATTAGTGCTCAGACCACACATTTCTTTTTGTAACAGAATGGGATCAAAACCTTTGGAATGAATATTTTTGAAGAGTAGCAGCCACATTAATTCTTCTGTCACACGACATTTTGAGCTCATTTAGTTCTTATAAAGTTTTCACAAATTAGATTAGTGTTTCTTTTCTGAATTATACTATTACGAAGAGTATTTCTTCCATGATCTTGTGATGCACCTATTTGTTAAAAACAATTAGCCTGTGAGCCTCTGTCTGAAAACTGATACAAGGAAACAGTGCCAGCAATAGGACTGGTGCAGAACTAAAAATCCACATAGCCTGAATAAATTTTTATGACTAACACGATCCCGAGAACACGAGATGATGGAAATTTAAAGGAACTTACAAAGATCAAGAGATACCTCTCCTCTCCTCTGAAAGTACTTTTCACTATTGTCAAAACCCCCAAAAGAACACCTTTCTCCAAAGCTCCATGTCATACATTCAGAGAAGCGCAGCTTCACGTTTTCTACATCCTTTTTTACACCTTTGAAATGTTGTCCCAGCTGCCCTTGTATGTCAGCTCTCATCAACTCTCCAGGAGCATCTGGAAACATTCCCCCAATATCTCCCAAAGGACAGGGCTAAAAGATAACATTTGGACTGTGAAAGACCTTAGATTGCGTTTAAATACCAGTAGTTAGGAACGTTATTCTTGTCCATAACCTGCAATACATTTTCTTTTAAGTACAGAAAAACGTAAGGAAAACTGGGGGATGGAAATTAATTTTCTGCATCTCAATTTTCCTGCCTTTTCTTTCAACCCTTCAGTCAATTACTCCCACCTTCAATATCACTCTGTTCTTTTGTCTTTATTTCTTAATTACCTTGACTTTTCTCTTCATTGTTATTGTCATTTGCATATTTCTACTGCCTGAACAAGCCAAATATGATATTTAGCTCTCTGTTCAATACTTCTGTTAACTCCTTTGTGTGATCAAGTTATTGAACAAATAAGAACGAGCACTTCAGCATTGCTTCCTCTGACTCAGACTCTGACTATTTGTTTTCTTTGCTCTTATCTGTTGCATGTATTCTTACTGCTCAGTCAGCTGATAGAACTAGTTCTATTATGTACGTCCTAAAGCACTGCTTTCTGTATTGTTTAGTATCTCTAATTTCTCTTTAATGGAACATAATGGTTAGTTTTTCTTTTTTTATTTTTTTTTTTTAAATGAAAGGCCATACAGTTACGCAAATTTTGTTGTAGCTTTATTATTATGGTTGAAGCTTTTGTTTTGCTGTTCCTGATGACCAAATCGCAGGTCTTTGAGAAACTACAGCTTTCACATGATTAACAGCAGACACTAAACTGACCAGTTAATAGCTCTGATGAGTCCATTCTTACTTACGCAGTATGCCCTGTCTGATATTAACGCACAACATGCATCTTGATAGGGAGTAATATCTTAAGTCTCAAACTGATGTAGTGGATATAGTTTGTTAAGATTTGTTGTTTAAAAGTTAGGTAACTAACAGGTGTTGTGTTTGTAGGTATGTAGATAAATTGTGTATCTTGGAAGTATTGTTAGACTCCAGTGAGCAGTAACCACGGAAACAGAACAACCTTATAAGGAAGGAAAGGAACAGTGAAGAGACATGAGATTCTTTGGTTCGAATGATGTAGATGGGTTAGGAATGCTTCATGAATAGATAGGCCAGACATTCAATAGGTAAAAGAGCCTTGAAACTTTGTACTTTACATTAATTAGATAGAAAAGCTAACCTTGTAGGGTTGATAGGGAAGGTATACTGGAATAAGCTAGCCTGTTACAAGTGAAAAACATGTAAACCAAGCCAAGGGACAAACAGAGGATGCGTGAAGGCTGAGTTCAACCAGAGGGCACCGTGATGAAGACTATCGACGACCACCAGAGGACCCCGAGAGACCACCAGAGAGCACAAGGGCACATGTGTCGGGGACATTTGCATATGTTAATGAATTCCGGGAAATAACATGAATATTTAGATTATTTCTCGGAAATGTAATGAATATGTATACTTTAATTGCATTTAACCCCTATGGTTACGTGATTTGGCACGCACGCTAGGTGGAGCGATCCCCTGTGCGTCCAGCACTGCAATAAAGAATACCTGCTTTCTAAAGCTCTAAATTGAGTCTTAGTTTTTCCGAGACTTCTTCATTTCAATCTGGCTATGTGTATCATCTTAGAATTAAGATCCCCACAGGGCAGCTGAACATGCTTCAGGCAAGGCTATTACAACTGAACAATCCCTAATGGCTTCTCCCAAAAGCCCTAAGCTGAATATCAAACATGAGCATAGGGGCTAGCTGGAATGCAGGCATGGGAATGCGATAGAGCACCCAGGATAGACCAAAATGTTAACATGCAGCTCTTTGATATTCTGCTTTCTCACAGTTGAGTGCTTGCTGCTGCATCTCATTTACAGTACAGTATGCCAGTTCTGCTCATTGGCTTTTCACAACAGTATCTGCATACTTCAGGAATAACAAGTGAATTTAGTTTCACAGTATTGCTGCTACAGATCATCCCTCTCCTGATTGTGCTGATGGTGAACTGTGGAACACAGCAAGCAAGGTAAAGAATCCTATTTTAGATACTCAGTTTTCCACACTCGGGGTCTGATTGTCAGTGTATTTATTACTATTCCCCATATTCTTCAGTTACATCAAACTGTTGATTTCTGTTGTAACAGGAGGGACTCGGCCTTCTGGCAAGCTGAAGTTTGCTTCAGGTTCTCATGTCTGATTCTCAAAAAGATGACCACCTCTAGAAAGCTTAAGCCTGAACTTGCTCAGTTCATTTTAGAAACTGAGGGGTGTAGACAGGTACAACTCCAGAAGTCAACATTCAGCTTCCTCAACCTTGAAGCTAGTGTTTCTCATCTCATGACATCTTTTGTCATAAGCTCAGCTTCCATTTTTGCAAGGAACAGGCAGAGGCCTATTCAGAAAACTCCCTCCTCAACCATACAGTCCCGATGGACTTCCAGAGAGTGCACTCTTAGTGCAGTGAAGAGTTACGACAAGAGTCCAGCAGCATGCATAAGCAATCTCTGCTCACAGAGCACACTAATGTTACACAAGCAACCATAATCCTGACACTTTCACACCCTTTGATAATGCAAGACTTTTTCCCCATCTAGTCAATCATAATGCTAGCTCCTGCAGTCATTAACCTGTTAATGAACAGAATTTGTTTTTTCAAGTTACCTTCTTCCTTCCCTTGATCAAGTGGAAACCAAGGCATTTTCTTTTGAAGATGAGAGACAGAAATGTCCAATTTAACTGTTGACTTTGTGGGTCTGAAGCCTTTTACTTCCATTTGTCATAGGGCATTTGGCTCTCTGAGATAACCCACGCTTAATATTCTGTCATTCAACCTCTACTCAGGAAAGTAGAGCCTCCCATCCTTCATCCTTGGTCTCTAACGTCAACATGTTCATTTCCAAAGCTGACACAAAATTGCCCTCATGATCTCAAACTGTCTTTGAACCAATTCTATCTTAAAATCACCTTCCACTTTCATATTTCAGTTATTGATACTACCGAACTTCTCCTGAATTTCATTCTTGCCCTTTGTTTTTCCAGACTGGAGTAGTGGCACATTTAAAAAAATACATATATTGTTCCTATTGAATTTCTACTTCTAAAGAAGCCTCTTGAAAAGCCACTTCCTCTCTTCAAATCATGCCACAAAACCTTTAATTTTACCTCCAGTTTAATAACTTCCTATAAGGCTCTGCACTAGAATGAAAAGCAAAAAATTATTCTAGCTTCTTGCAGAGAATTTAGACAAAGGACCATGAACAGATGATTTGGGCAAGTCTAACTTTGTGCATTCTAACTACTTGCAATGTATAGAAATTAATTATCTTTTAACGGCAACGTAAGAAATATTTACAAAAAAGTTGAATACACACCTCGCAAGCAAAGCAGCCTTTGCCGCCACATTATGTTATACTAAATGTAGGAACCATGAAATATAATGGCAACTGAAGACTCATACAACTAGACCATTTAAAAAATTTTTGGATCTGTTTTAAAACTGGACAAGTGCGGTATATACACAGAAAATGAGGCTTCCTCTCCATCACTTACTGATGTTTGCACCATCATAGCTCGCTGATCTCGCATTTTTCGTACAATATCCAGCGGATAAACAGGTTGGTTTCTTTCAATTAAACACATGGCTGTTTCCATAGTGACCAATACACCAGTGCGACCGATTCCGGCGCTGTGAAATGTAACAGAAAAATAGTCTATAAAATTAGGTTTTCGCAATGCACGAGATTCATATCACAGTCTTAATACTAGGATACTAAATAGACTTAGAAATTAGGAAGATGTTAATAAAATTAGAACAGAGTGTAAAGCTTATCCTTAAAGCAACTTCAGTAGCATTTCCTGCCAATTATTAAAAAGAAAAGAATTTTTATATAAAACTAAAACCTCACTTAAAGTAAATGGATTTTTAACAATTATAACTGCTTACAAATCTAAATGTACTGGTTTGGTATTTTTGACTAAAATAGGTAAGAGCTAAGTGACTGCTTTTTGACAGGCACTTGAACAGCAGAAAAAAACCCTTTGCAATACCATTCAAAATGAGGTTACAACAGTGGTAGAGGATAAAAATGGAGAACAACTTACATTGCAGATTATCAGCTCTGTGATAATTACATGACTAAGCCATTTCACCGCAAGGTTGCGGGAGAAAGGGAGGGAAAAGAAACTCATCCTTTAGATACAACACCAGTGCTTCTGTCTTCAACAGTGAACGCTGGTATTGCACAGTTTAATATTTTCATCTAATCCAAGGAATCTCCTGTCTTGCAGACAAACTTTTCAAAGCAAATGCTTATTCTAAGGCTGAAGCAAATCCATAATCAGAATTTTAAAACACAAGTACCTGCAGTGAACAAGGACCGGCTCATTCTCTACTCTCTTTGGCCTCATACAGGTCACAAACTCCAAGAAGTCCATGGAGTCATCAGGAACACCATGATCAGGCCAAGCAACGTACTGGAGATGGGTGATGGCGTGCTGTTGTTCTGTCTAAAATACAGTAAGGTTTTCAAAAAGTGTTCAGTGTTATGACTGCTGTATTGATGTTTACTAGATACAAGTCATACTTTTCACAGTAAGCATATTCTGCAGATGCTATAAGATGCATATGGTGTAGAAAATATTTGCCATTTTAAAATTCAGAGTAAAGCATGAACATGTGGCGCTTAGGGACATGGTTTAGTGGGCATGGTGGTGTTGGATTAACGGACTTGATGATCTTAGAGGTCTTTTCCAATCTTAATGATTCTATGATTCTATGTAATTCTTAGAAAGCATGCAAAAGGCATATAACATTTTCTCAATAAATGAGGTATCAAGTTTAACTTCTGTGATCTAAACAGATTTTTATTTTTTGAATTCATTGATTGTTGACCTATTATACCTTGACATCAGTGATTCACCTGAGGTAAAATGCTACAAGACTTATGCATAATAGTACTATACAATAGTTTAGAACAGGTTGGAAGAAACAGCTGAAACCAGCAGAAGAACTTTTGAGAACAATATCACAATAACAGGGTCTTGGGGCTACACAATCTACCCTAAATATGTATGTCTGTTTGTACTTACAGATTCAGTTATATTATAAAGTTGCCTGCAACATTTGCTAAATCTGGTTTCTGTTAGAGAACAATGTATATATTATTCATACATACATGTTCATTGTACATACATGAATGACTTCTGTATGACCCACAGAACGATACTTTTCTGTATGGAAGCAATATAATTAGTTAAAAGATTCTGTTGTATGAAGAGCTCTTTTTTCATTCAATTATACCTAAAAAACTGGTTTTACAGAAGTTCTTTCAGTTTAGCTTTTTGTTAACTTTGATAACGAAATCACTCAGTCATCTTTGCATTCAGATTGGGCTCAACTGCTATGTTACAAATATAAACAATGATTAAGGTGCAAAGGAAAAAACCTAAGATACTCCTGAGCTCTGCTGCATCATGCAATGAGGATCTCACTCCTTACAAACTGAGAGAAGTCTTCATGTTCCTTTATTTCTTCCACACGTTTAGCAACAGCTAAACTGTTAGCTGCATTTATCAATGTCCATTATTAAACTTAACATTTGACACTCTACTGAAATAAAAATCTCCTTTATCACTGTATTAGTCTATAAAAGCTGGCCTCTCCCTAGTGGTCCACGCAAAAATGTATTCATGATGCTAGTGACTTTAAGAGTTTTTTTTCCTTTTCTCCGAAGTGCACAACTACTGAAATATATGACCTGTTTTAAATGCCTTCAACTGTTTGCTTTCCTCTTCCACTGGAAGAAGTGGTTGCACTCCCAGGCAGCAGGCTAGTAAGATACAGAAGACAGAATAACTACTGCCTATGTACCAAGCAGAGTCTTAGGAAATGCATTTATTCCAGTCAAAGTAATTGCAGAAATTTACAATTGCCTCCAGGGACATGAAGATAAACAACATAGCTCATACTCTGCTTCTTAAAGGCAGAGCCTGAGCAATCACAATTAAAAGGTCTAGCATAAGGCCCAAGTGGACAATGTAATCTAACATTAAAGACCAAGCTCGCTGTAATACAAATTGCATTGGGATTTATTATCCAGGTCATCAAAAGACCCCACAATGACCAGGATTCTCTGCGAGAAAAAGCATAGCCTTTTTCTACTCAGCTTTGCTGCCTTTATATAGTTGAACTTGATCAAATGATTACACTTTAAAGTTTTCTGAAATGCCACAGATTGAAAAAATACAAAAACATGACAAGAAAATGTCATTAAAAAGTTCTCTTTTGCAAATCTACGCATGCTTAATCAGAACCTCTTCAAAAGGGAAAGGAGGTAACACAGCAATTACATGTAACAGTTTCAGCCGATTCTTTTTAATCAGAGACATTTGAATTACACCATTCAGGTGAAACCAAGACTTGATTCATTCTAAAATTATCCAGGAGTGAGTATCCAGTCACCTTCCATGTGCATCAAGAACTTTAAGCCATGCATCATGGATAAGTGCCAGTGGCACACCCGAGAACCACCGACAGTGATCTATAGCATCAAAAGCCATTTTACAAGCTCAGAAAAGAGGAAAGAGTTAACTTTATTTTTACTTATCAGTAATTCAGGCTCAAATATAGCGAGCTGCATTTTTTTTAAATAGTTCATAGACATTAAGTACAACAAGCATGTTACATAAGACTTATTTGGAGGAAGAATACACTGTAAGAGCATGCTGTTAGTCCTCAGAGCTGCTTCTTTTGGTGTGATCATCTTCATTTTCTGTTACGTGCCCTATTCATCCCTAGAGACCAACATAGCTGTTTGTTAATTATTGCACGTATGCCTCAAGCTTCAGTATAGTTTTCTAGTTATTTATGTTTTGATATAATCAGTTATGATTCTTTTGGTTGAGCTCTCCTGAGATGATTCAAATTGCTAAAACTTGACCATTATATCACTTCCCTTTTCAAAATGCACACATATTTTAAAATACTTCATTTTTTATTAGCAAGTTAAACCTACTGTAAACAGTAGTTATATTCATATATGTTAGAACTAGTTTTTCTAATTCTAATACTTTTATGTCTCATGCAGAAAATGCCAAAGCAGTACTCTGATGAAGGCCATATTTTTTAAACTATTTTTAGTGGTTTTTTTTTTTTTTAAATATAAAATCTTCAAGTCTTTACACTTATAATGAAAGTCAGCTTTTAAATTCAGAAAATGTCAGCCAAATACCACCACACGTGGAAACAACATGCATTAAAAGACTATCACAGTTACTAAAATCTAGCACTCATACATTAAAAAAAGTGCTATAATTATAGCTATTGGTCCCACAGTTAGCGCCACTGTACATGTCCTATTAACAATACTTATTTTTAAACACACTATTTCTGCCAGACCCTGCTTCTTTGTATAAACCTATTAATGGAAAATAAGAGGTAGCTTCTCATTATACTCACGTTGCTGTCCAAACCATTATTCTCTGCAAGTCAGTTTAAATCTTTTCCACAATTTTTTTTTTTTTTGCACTGAGGTTTTCAATGACAGTCATTATTGTAGCATCCTAATGACTGATAAATGTAGAATTTACCTTTACAAAATTGGGCTTCAAAGTCTATAAGTCTATTGGGCTTATAAGCCCTGGTTTATAAGTCTAAACTTACAGAAAGTGAGACAGCAAGAGTTGCTCATGGACCGGTTGCTATTTTTGCCTAACTTGACATTATACACCTTATTGTTCCAAAAATATTTAATGTTTTTTGCACTCACATGGACTGATTTCAATTGAATTTATGTATTTAGTATTTCCACAAATCAGCTTAAAAATGGTGGATTCAAAAAAATGAGTCCAAACAACTTACAGACTCCAGTGACACTTCTGGATTATGTAATTTGCCTAGTTTATCATCAGCTGTTTGACCAACATTTAGCTGCTTCATGGCGTTGACCCATATTCACTTGGCAAGCAGCTACAGAAGTCTAAGGCATCATACGTGTCCCAAGGTATTTGTTACTGTCCTTCTGATAATGGTTACTGTTGCTGCAGCAAAGGTGTCAGCCAAAAAAAAAAAAGATGTACTTGTACCTACCCCTCCTGTGCAAATTCAAGACATCTTACTGCAAAAGCAACTTCATTGTGGTTAAGCTAGCATCCTAGATTTTGCTCAGAAACACAGGGTAAAGACACATGATCTTTTCTAATAAGTCTACCATTGGGATTGCAATTCCTGACAAAGTATAGGGCTCTCAGAGGTAACGCTTCAAGTGGCTGCTGTGACACCTGCAAAACAATCTCATTATCAAGACCTTCAGCCACAAAAATATCCATTCTTCATCTTTCTGCAGTTTGCAGCCTTGCTTATTATAATTACATCAAAAGGCAGGCTTCCTTGTTTCATTCTCCTAAAATGACTCTCCCTGGTTAATAAAAGAATCAGGTGTTCTTCAGAAAAACAACACACAGAGCTTAGAATGATAATATTCATATAGAAAGAAGGAAATTTACAGTTGAAAGGTCAACCTTAATTTTGACTTTTCTTAAAATTCAAACAATTGATTTTGCATTTCACCTTTTCATTTAATGTCCTTTTTGGTCTAGGTTATAATATAATCTTCAATTAAAAAAAATTGAAAAGAAATTTCACCATGTGGAACTACATTAACCTCGAAATGGTCCTATTATTTTCTATGCAGGAAAAGATATGCTCTTTGCTAGTGAGCTTCACAAATATACCTTGAAAGCTGAGACTCAGTGATCAGGGTTAAAGCCTAGTTTCTGAAGAGTAGATACTTTAGCAGTGGCATTTGGCATTTCTTTGGACCACCGTTCCCACCTCATTATGCTTCTGTACACCCTTGCCATAACGCTTTTAATCTACTATTGTTCTTCAGCTCTTTACTATTCAAAGCTAACTCGTTTTCTTCTACCACGAGTATTTGACAGAACAGAACATGTTCAGTGTAGACACTTTTCAGAGAAGCCTTTAAAATACCTCTGCAGTGTGACAGGTTTGTTCAAGACATTTATAACATGGTCAAATTTATATAGATTTCTTTGGAAAGAGAAAATACAAGGTCTTCTTTAATATGCAGAAGTAAAAGTTCCAGGGAACTAATCTAAGAACCTTTAACATGAGCAAACTCGACATTTCCCCCCCCCAAACTGTTGTGTGACATGTATCTGGCAAGCAAGACAAACGGCATGGAAAGCCTCAGCCCAAACAATTAAGATGTGTAAAAATTGCAGAGATTGTATTTTCAGCTGTTTATAGCAGAAAGTGCTGGCAGTATATTCATTTACATTGCTACCTTTAATCTAATATCAATTTAACGCTGTCACTAGAAGGCCTACATGCTGGTCATTCATAAACAGAAAGATACCAGTCATTCTTCATCTTGCAGTTTTACCTCCTCCCTTCAGCAAACAGCAATAACCTTCCTTAGCAAAATGAATTTATGCTTAATCTTCCATTTGTTTGAATTGCTGCATCAATTTATTTTCTTTTTCTTCAAACCAACCCCTCCATCATTGTGATGTCCATGGAAAGTGATTGCTTTTAAATTAAAAAGAAGCTTATCTCCCCAAATCCCTCTATTCGCATTGTCATTGTCTGCACAATTACGCTAAACAGTCCACATTATGACACAAGGAATTGTCTTAATTGCCTTGACCTGGGTTGTTTATAAGGTGTAAATGCTCTCTCATGGTGCTCACTCCTCATTCATTATAGCAATGGTATAACTTGTCTTTAAAGGATGAAATTCATTCATTTTTTAAACATCTTGAATTTTTTTTCTTTTTGTTTGAATAATTTAGTTTAATTAATAAAACTAATCAGGTGGGAGAATGACAGGGCACTTTGGAAACAACTAACAAGGTGTGGCATCAACTAACATAAGATGTGGCAGAATAAAAAAAAAAACAACCTTGCAAAATTACAGTTCTTCAAAGTTATGAGTAATACGCTTCAGCAAGTATCATCTCCACAGCCTTGCTAAGTTCCATAGCTGGGTTCTAGTCACACTTAACTGAAATCAAGAAAAATGCTTGTTTAAACAAGGGAAAGCAGCAAAAAAGTTTTTTTCAAAACATAACTGGATGAAATTGGTGAGATTTAATGGGCAATGATATGTTGCAAGGCCATTATCTTAAACTGAATGAAAGTTTGCTTCAGGCTTCCCATGCTATTTTTTCAATGATTAAAAAGAAGTATTTGTCTTGTTTTATAAAACGGTGCACTGTGTGATGAATTTTGCACTCACACTACACAATTTCCTTCCTATGGTCTATTTGTTCTGAAGTTTTTTTTAATAAATAATAATAAAAAACCCTAAAAAAACAAACTTAGTGCTTTATTTGCTTTTCTTTCATTTTGCTACAGGATAGCTTTCAATCTTGGTCTTGAAAAGGCAGGAAATTAATCCTTATTTCATTTCATGAAGCTTAGAAAGGTTACAAATATTTCACACATTTGCAGTCATTTGCTGACCTTCAATTACAGGGAAAGAAGCACCCAGTTAAACTGCATCAGAAAAATCCTAAGAAGTTTCTTGTTCCTCAAGTCTTCTGAACATACATGAACAAAAGGCCAAGGGCATCATTTCATAAACTTCTCTTTTGAGCTATTTTCCCCTAAAGGCAGATTTGAAATCTGTGCAACTTAATTCACCGGAACCTTTTTCACAAATATGCCTTTCCAACAGAAATCAAATCTCTTATGAGTTTGGAAGCTTTATCCATCTTACTATTAAAAGCTACTTGTCTTCATAAAGATCATTCCAATGATGCTCACATTAGTTCAGGGAATAATAAAACCTTGGTTTGAATTCAGATGACTTTTTATGTATTCTTCAAAGAATACTAAAACAATATCTGTGAGAGGTAGTACATATAAAGCTTTCCAAAGTCTACTCAAACACAAAACAAACACAAAATGCCTCCAAAAGAATACATTTGGTCAGCTTTAAGAAAGCAGCTTGAACGACATAAAACTAGGAGATACTTCAGTGTTTCAGAAAGTTCTTTTGCTATGTTTTAGCAAGCTACAAAGGTTTTTATTTCCATCTGAAATGCCAAATGCACACAGAGCTATCAATTATTAGGGTCATATTTTTACTGTATGGGACAGCTCAATGTTGAGTGTTCTTTTGAATGTAGCCACTTTATTTAAGTGTACAAATAAACTTGCCTTTAATGAAAAAAACCAAAAGCCAAGCCAAAAAAACCCACCCTCAAAACAACCTTCCCCTCACCACAACACACACACATCCACCTAGGACTAACTTTAGCATGCTTTTGTCTAACCTAGATGAAATCTATGCAAGCATACACCTTTGCATTAGAAACGATATTCTCAACGGAGAGTTATCATGAGACAATTTACACAGTTGAAGATCCTTGTAATTTTCACATCTGTTAACATGTTTACAACAGCACACTATACTCTCACACAACCTTTATCTCAAAAAGAATTAACTTGTATTAAAAAAAATAAAATTGACTGCCCTGTTCTCATTAGGATTTTGACTTATCACGCGCTAGTAAATAGAGGCCTGAAGTGAAAACACATACTAAATACAGTCACCGGTGAATTTACTCAAAATTATGTACCAGTTTGACAAATGCTAACCAAGAAAAAGAACAAGTATTTGAAAAGAGTAAACTGAAATCTACAAGAAGCATTAGCTAACCAAAGTTAATTGGCAATCAAATAATTTGAGTGACAGGGGCTAAAAGTTTGTCTACATATACTCTGCAATACTGCTTTAACGAGGTTAATTTTTTCTGTGCTGACATCCAAGTTTATCACTTACAGATTAATTGGCTGAAAAACAGAACCAAAAATCATGCTGCTCCCTGACTGGATGGCTTCTCATAGCTAGAAACTGAAACACTGTAAACCATTTTAACTGAAAGACCTTTAAGTACTGGCATCTTACGTTTATGAATACAAAGGAAATCTTAATCACATTAAAACAACTTTGGATGCACTGTCAAGTGATAGATTCAGTCACAAATTTAGGAGACTAAAAGATTGGTCATCTTGCTGTAAGAACATCAACGAAATGTTACATTTTAAAACAGGTATTTCCTTTTTCTTACTACTAGCAATTCGAGTAACAGTAAAATTTACTTAATTATGCAGAAGTTTAAAAGATTGACTAGTATTGGAACTGTAAATTAGCATTTGGTCAGTACACAGTGATTTCTTACACACGTACCTTATGGTAACACAAACTCTTCATCTTTTTACAAAATACTTGGGACCATAGAATTTTGGAAAAGAGATGAAGAGGGAAATGTTTAAGAAATGTAGGACAACTTACAAACAAAAGCCAAACTTCATTCCCTAGATGCAGGTTGTGAGAAGTTTAGATGTGATCTGAACACAGATTTCACAACACAAGCTGTTATGCAAGAAGTATTCTTCTTTCTTTTTGCTTTATAACCCTTCCATTAGCATAAAGTATTAACAGGTAAGGAATGTAAGTACTTTACATAAATTGAGCACATTTCAATTGAGATATATAAGGATTTTTTTCTTTTTTAGAATCTGACTAAAGACAATGAAAAGGAGCTGGTGAGGTTCTGCATCTTCTCTCAAAACAACACTATTACGATTTACTTCTTTGCTAGCTGTACTAGCATGTATGTGCCATTAACAAAGTGACCCATATTTCATCCTTGAAAGAGCACAGTTACTTAGAAAAAACTCTCATTGAAAATTGAAATACTTGTGAAGATTCAGTGACTGCAAAATTGTTTCCAGAAAAGCACTAGCCTTCTTTATGAAGCTTATTACAGTACCTGTACAGCATAATGTATTAATGTATTACAGAACTTCAGAAAGTATGTTTTTGAAGAAGCTCTAAAGAGCTATGTTGACTCATATGATATATACATATTCTTTTTATAAAAATACGTATATTATATACACACACATGTATACATTCACACACAGAGATGTACATGCTCAGACACAGAGTCCGTATCTACCTATCTATACATGTATTCATTCAGCTTGCTTGGGGATAATTAAAGATAACAGGCATTTACCTCAACATTTGTAATCACCATTTCTCTAACAACATAAGCAATCGTGCAATCTTCAGAGTGGCATCGGACACGAAAGCTGCCATATTCCATTACATCTGGTGGATCAGGCCAATACTGATGACATTTGGTCTGTAAAGAAAATTAAGCACACATCAAGACTTTATACAAGCACTTCTATTTACAGCCTCCCCTGGCGGGAGGTTCAGAGAATTCAAGGAGCAGTATGAAATCTATTCGGGTTTGTTGGTGAGGTGTTTACATCCAAATTGGAAAATAACATGACAAAACAGGCTAAATTCTCTATAAACTTGTGTTTTGGTCATTTTAATAAAAATTCAGGTAAATTGGATGAAGATGCTTTCTATCTGGTACTGAACTGCAATCGCTAAAATGACTTCTCAAGGCACAATGTAGGAGGAGAAACGCATGGATTTGTTCCATCTTAAGAAAAGTGTAGGGGGGAAATTTGTAACTATCTTCAGCCACCTAACAGCAGGTTATAGTGAAGACAGAGCCACACTTTTCTTGAAAGTGAACAATGAAAGTAAAGAGGTGACTGAAAAAAAATGCAAAAAGGGAAATTCTGACTAGATATTGGCAAACAACTATTTCAAGTAAGGATGGTCAAGCACAGAAACAAGCTGCCCTATGAGGCTGTGGAATCCCTATCCATGGCAATAATCAAAACTTAACTGACGTGATGTTGTATAACTTGCATGAACTTCAAAGCTGCTCCTGCTTTGAGCCAAGAGGAGTGGACCAGATATCTCCACAGGTCCCTTCAAACAGGAATTATTCTTAGATTCTGAAGCAAGATCATGCTGGAATGCAAAAAATAATGCAAACCAGTCTGTCCCCCCCTATTCCAACACTGCAGTCTGAAAGAGCAAAGCGGGCTCCATTTCTGGAGACCCTAAGAGATAACTCATTCTGCAGAGAGAGAGAGAGCGTGCATGCAGCAAAAAGGAATACCCAACAGCACTGTCACCCCTTAACATGCACTCCCCAGAAGTTCAGCCTGCCTGGTACTTGTCTGGCTGCTTCCATAAGAACAGTTTCCCTTCTCCTCTCCCTGAAAGCAAGTGGTGAAGGTAAGGAAGCGACTCTAGCTGTCTTCTGAAGATTGCTTCCCTGACTCGGGTATCAGTTTTCAGGCCACTAAGAGCTATGTATTACTTCAGTTATTGACAGGAATTCACTGAATGGGAAAAACATCCTCATTTTTCCACTCGATCATAAAAATTTTTGTGTTTTAAGGCAAAAATATTTTTAAAACACAGAATAAAGCTTATAAACATTAGTAGCAAGGATACTATATAGAAAGTTATTGCAGGCACAATAATCCACAATAACTTGGTTATATAATGAAAGTTGCCCTCCATGTTTTCTAGGGAAAACTGAGCTCAGAAACTGGAAGAATGGACAAACAACTTTGACAAATGACATGCACATGAACTAGAGAGATGCGTATTTCTTTTCTATGTCAGATATAAGACTGAAGACAAAGATCTACTCTTAAATGACTAATTGTATCTAAATGCTAAAGTTATAAACAAAGGCCCAGAAACATACCTACTGATGCAGGAAAGTGTAATTTGCCCTCTGCCTCAGGTCTCATGCAAGGGCATAATGGATTAACCTTTAAGCCTACCAAGGTGTGACAAGCAAAGTCATATGTGCATACAAATGCACCTAATGTACTGCATATGCAGTTTGAGGTACACCAGAGTACAAGCGAAAGCTGAAGTGGCATCCAGTATTAAAATTACACCCATGAAATACTCTATCTTTTCTAAAAGAAAAGAGATTAATCAATTCCGCGTATAAGCATGAGGCACCATTTTCTCTCCTGTCTTCTGCTGCTGATAGTAAGAGGGTGATCTTGAGATCCCTACCACTCTACTGCTGAAATTATAAAGTCTTCCTTTTTCTGGTTCACCTTCTTAAGGCAGATAGATAGGCACATCTAGTCAGTGTACATGTAACTTTTGTAGAAACAATCCTAATGCCAGTATCTATTCCTCATTTTAAAAGGTAAGCTTAGAGCAGCGCTGATGACAGGTTTGCCACCTCATTTCCCATCTAATCAAAGGCTGAAACGTTGTAGAATAGACTGAACTTGAAAAAGTATTCCAGTGAGATACTAGCTCAGTGAAATCCTTGTCTGCTGAAGTTAGCCCAAGTTTGCCCATCAACATAAAGGTTCCAACATTTCATCCCAGTACTTAAAATATTCTCATCTTCCACTTCAGCAACTCCAAATAATTGCCTTCATGTAACAAATATAAATCAAGTAGTTTCCAAGTACGAGTCCAGCGGACTTATGAAAAAGGCATACTAAAGACAAAGTCCAGCTGAGCTATAAGAAAATCCAAGGGAGTCGTAAAAAACCATCTTGACACAACTCCCCAGACACTGTACTTAAAACTTTATTTAATTGTGAGTGACCAAAACAGCTGAGCTATAATTGTCCTCTTCACTGCCTATACATTTTAAAAACAATTGTTACTAGCTCCAAAAGAAACCCAACAAATTGATATTCCCAACATGTTTGTATTTCAGCTTTAGTTAATTTGGATTCTTTATCAACTTATCAACATTGCTTGTGCCATCTATAAAATTTTTTGTCTATAACTCCTTCTTTAAACTAATACAGAGTGGCAAGAGCTGGAAATTTTGAAATGTTAAAATTTCTTAATTCTACCTTTCTTAGGGCTCAATTTTCCATGGCTTGAAATCCAAATTTTAACCATTATACCTGAAATTTTTATTGTAGTAGTCTATCTGAAATACTTTCGCCTTTAAATTTAAGTCAAAATAATGCATCCATTTCTAAAAAATGAACACTACTGGGAGGGTGGGGAGAGGTTTTTATCCTATAATAGAGAGATAACGTAGAATGTAAAATCTCCAAGGTTTGGGAAAGGGTTAGCATTTGGCAATGGGGATACTCTGGCGAGAACATACATCTTTTTCTATCCCTGAAAATTCACCTACAACCTGGGCAAATGTAAAACATCTCTGAAAGTAAAAAAAACTCAGAAAAAGTGTCTGGTGTATAAATGTACCAGCAGGATGGTTAGAAGTTAGTGACAAATCGCTTGAAGGTTCCAACTCACTGGGCAAAGTACAGATTAGTATTAATCTGTTTTTCTCCTCAATACAAGGAAAAGAAAGCAGGAAGCTATTTTGACTGCAATACAGTCGAAAGATGAAGGAAGCATTTTTGTGCCAGATGATGTTCAATAATGTCTGTCTCCATAAATAGCTACGTAACGTGACCGTGGTTAAAATCTGTTGCTTTTCAGCATTCACACTTCTGTCAAAATTTCAATGAAGAATTACATTGGTGCTTAACTGTGCCTACTTATGTCTCAATCATTATGCTGTTTAGGGCCTGAAATACTCGCAATCTTGCCTTCCAAAAACATTGTTTTTTGACTGGGATGCCAGATAAATTTGATAGCATAGGATAGATCACATAGGAAATACAGATAAAGGCTACAGTGAAGGCATACAAAAGTCATCATCTTCTCCACCTCTCAAAAAAACTACTCAGTTTTCAGCTTCTAAAACTTCAAAAGCAATCCCTTTATGTACATTAATCATCTAAAAACTTCATCTTTAAAACTAGAAAGGATACGTTAAATCAAAGTACAACAGAATACACCAGATATTGCTTTAATTTTCACTGTATTATTCTGAAATTAATGGAGTGCTAGAATTTATTTAATCAGAATTAAAAGAATTATCAGAGCAATTCTAGGAAAGAACCTACAATATAAATAAAAGTAAGCAGGCTAAATTCTGAGCACCAGCATGTTAAAAATAGTAAGTACTACAATGGCAGACTCTTGTTTGAAGCCAGACTGCAAGTTTTTGTCAACCTGCTCAACACTTCCAGACATCTGCCGAATCATTAGGAGAACAATTGCAACATGGAGCCCAGTGTTCAGGGGAAAAAAATGACAGCACATAGTACCTGGCTGATCAGCAAAATGGACTCAATGCAGTGATTTCTGTGTATCAGACTGCTGGTTTGTTTTCAAAGATGCATAAAAAAACCCCCCGAAGTTGCAGAGTATCTCTTCCTCGAAGTAATTCAGAAAGCCTGGCCTTCAGAGAAATGATTCAACAGAATAAACTGGCCTATTTTAGCGTTATTTAATCATAACTGTGGGAAAAAAATTTAAAGGCACAGTACATTTCTTCAGTGTACAAAGAACCTGAACACTTACCCGTCCTCGTTCAGTGAGAGTTGTTAACATGATGATCAGTGACAACTTGTGATCCCAGACTACTTGCCAGAAGTGTGCACATGTGTGTGGAAGAGGCCCCTGAGTAGCAATGTACCTGTTCACAATGCCCACAGAAGGAATTTCCATCTATAAAGAGAAAGAAAAATCCTGCATAAAGTTTGCTCTCACTACTCAAGTACTACTTTTCTTTAATTCAGCATTACATTCAAACAGACTTGAGGGAAGATTAAGGCAGCAAGCTGAGTAATAAGAAAATCAAGATCACAATTTGTTATGTGAAAAATCTTTAAATATTTCATTTAAACTAGGTGTATACTATAGATACCATAGTCCTTCATGCTGAACTAGGAAGAGATGATTAATAGTGAAAATGTATTTGAAAACTTGAAACTGCAAAACTTTCCAAGTTTTCTTTAATATTAGCAAGGAATAATGGCAAAGTATATGAAAGGTACACTAGCGAAAACTGTTTATTGCCTGATACTAGACACAGTAAGTTAATAGTTGATTCTGTGATTTAGGTGTTTAACTTAAGTATCTGACACAAACATATGTATATTTTACCCTCTTCTCCCTGTCTCCCAGCCTACACACATGATTAGGGCAATCAGGGCTCTGGTTTATCTTCTGGACCCTTCATAGCACAGTTGGTAGGCCGTAAGTGATTGTAGAGGGAAAAAGGCTTAGTTTTAAGCTATAGGAGACAACCTCAGCATTTGCAGTATATGGAAAGGTAAAACAATTTTTACTGTTTAAAGACCCTGCACATATCACAGTGTATACGACATGCTTGCATCTACTGTGTATCAGCATGGCCGCTTGTTTCACAAGAGACACTTCATCTTTTACATTATGCATCTTCACATCTTTTACATTTACAAATCCCCAAAATATAAAATGAAAACCCCTGATTCCTTAAAAAGGCTAAATTTAGTCTGCTATTGTAATATAGAAATTGGGCAAATGCAGGTCTCTGTAGGACTTACATTCACATAATTTGCATTAATGTAATCTTCATCTCCTTGCAATATTATCCTTGTGGCGTCATCTGCACACAAAGAAAAAAAAAGAGGGAATCAAATTAGCAATGCTTCTCTTCTATTAAGTCAAAACTGAGGAACTGCAGACACACAAACAGCAGAATACAAACCAAAATAGATAACCTTTTAGAAAATAAAATGAACAATTATACAACTTTGATTATGTAATGAAATCTTTAATCAAGAAGTTCAATACAACAGTTTTATAAGCTATCATTTAGAGGATAAAGCAAAATAGGCAGGAAGTCTGCACTTAACACTCACAAGGTAGAACATCTTTGTATCTATTCTTGTCCATATTCTGAGGTACCTTTGCACATGTAACAGCCAATCCTGGTTTCTTTCTATAAAGTTGCTGCAAGACAGAATGAAAAATGGTAGGATTGAGGGATGTGATTATGTTATACACACACTAAATAGATTCATATGAAAATACGTAGACTGAAAAAAATATCATAAGTTATTTTCTTTCCTCTTTTTCCTAACCATCTGCAAAATTCATCATACAAAAAATTTTTGTATTTTTAACATGACGAGAATTTCTGTTATTGCTAGCCCATCATCATCTCTAGAAGAATTTCTAGAAAAAAAAAAAAAAGAGGAAGCATAAGAGTCATTGATATAAACCGTTTCCCTTCAAGCTTGCCTTTTTCTTATAAAACTGTGTGCCAGAAGGAAAACAGAGGTTGAGGGTGGAAGAAGTGAGCAATAAAAGACATCAGAAGAAAAAAAAATAGCTGCAGACTGATATTTTTTGCAATCAACTGTAATACAAAGAAATTCAAACTTCTATTCTCTGGACTAAAACCACCGCGTTCAATCCTGCAAGTACCCGAAAAAACAAAGCTTCAGTATATCACAATCTCTTAATATGTGACCCCCTTTCTTTTGGGCCAACCCCTATCTTGCAAACTTTGTATGGACTAAATGTAGGCATATAAGTGTATAACCAAAAATAAATGTTAAGGTCAAAATGCATTAAGTGCATCGTACAAGACAACAAAAGGTACAGAGGGGGAAAAACAACAACAACAACAAAAAGAAGAAATGCAATTATACAAGTACGGTTTTTCTGTATTAAATATACATGAAAGAAGCTTACAACTGAATTATTAACCTGGCTGTGCCAGAGTTTTATATACTTCATTGAACACTTACCAAAGAGCTCATTATATCTTACACATTTAATGAAGATTTAGAATATGGTTCCATAAATAAAATGGAATGAAACGAATAGGACGCTAAAATCCCCTACTTTGGTTGAGAGAAAAAGAACAACACGCAAAAAGTTTATTCTACTGTGAGATTTACTGAATCCTAAGACTCTGTATCACAGCTCACCACATTTTTCAACTTGAACAGCATAAACAAGCCATGTGAGAAGCGAACTTAGTAACATATGTAACCGAACAGCTTCTATCAGTTATAACTCAAGTTCCATTTTACTAGAGCCAAGTTGCAATTTCTGCTTTTTTTGGGAGATAAGGAAGAATAATTTAACGTTAAGTAACAATTCTGGAGCTTCATTATTTTTGCCTGGCAAAAAGTCATTTGTCATTGACAGACTTCTTAAATTCTGCTTAAATGGAACAAGATATTCTGGAAAATTTGATTATTCATAGTCTACTGGCTAATTATTTACTATTTTACTAATGTGAATGGAGAGTTTGAAAGCCAGCAAAGCTGATGAGGTGACGCTGCAATTGTCTCTGCTTCTGAAGATCACTAAACAATGAACTCAAAGAAAGAAGGCCTCTAAGCTGTCCCCTAGATTATTAGATTTCAAAAAGGTTTTGCGCTTTTTTGTAACATCAGTAATATCCTTTTATAAACGCTGTCAGGAAAAAAGTCATAAAGGATCAAATATCCTATGAAGATTATTACAGGAACTTTGTGCACAAATTTAGTCAACAACTTTGACAATTAACAAAGTATCTTTTGAGTTACTGTTTCGATAGCCAACAGACTCATTGCTATTGCTGCATTGCAACCAGTGCTGTGGATTTTGGAAAGCAGCTATGAACCATAGTCTACAATTCCTTAAAGAAAGGGGAATCTTAACTCTCAGAAATCTTGGAAACAAAGCAAACCTCATAAAAAGAGTGGTTATGCAATAAGCAATACCACAACTCTTCAGCCACCACCATTAAATCTTATGGCATTTGAAAAAAACAGTGAGGGAAAAATATCAAAATGCGGAAAAATTATAATTATATTGCTGTTCTACAAGTTTTCAGCAGAAAGGGTTACTCCAGAACTCAACAATGTGAAATTTATAAATCATAATAACCAGTGTTTCTCCAAAGTTACTATAAATGTTTGGATCCAAAACAGCAAAACAAGCAGAAATATACATACACAGTACTCCCTTGCCATTAGAGAAGCAACCAAATTATCTTTTGGAATTTCTTACGCTAACACTGAAGGAAGTAATTTGATAAACTACAAAAACATTTTATTAGTCAGTCTTCTATGACATTCCTTGCCAACGTGTTGAAGAACATGACAAACATTAATTCATTAATCTATACAGCAGTTCTTCAGTGTCTCATCCTATATGCAGGGGAATCTCACCTGTGAAGTAATCTGCCCAAGAAGCAACCATCAGTGTTTTAGATCACCAGTGAGAAACACCACAGAACTGGACATTACAAATGTCCTGCAAACAGAAAGTAGCATTCTAACACTTTCATATTGACCTCTAAGAGAAGATGATGAGGAATGGTCAAGCTGCTCCTGTTATTCCATGAAAGAAGGCAACACATGAGAACTTGAAACTCTAACTTAAGATATAAAAGACGTTTTAGAAATGTCATTGAGCGGCATGGAAAAAGGAAAAAAGTACAAGACTCATCTCTGTCAAAATCCCACTATTCTACTCAATAAAATGATTAAGAAAAAAGTATTAATTAGTGAGCTTTGGGTACTTGAGCTAGAAACATGTTAATTAAAACACATTTTTCTCAGCAGATGACGTTTTATGCAAGACTGGTAACTCATTCTTCCCTATCCTAAGTAGTGAAGGGTGAAACCGGTGGGCAAGTCACATTCTTGCTCTTCTGAAGTAAGGCTGAACAGGAACAATGAGATTTCCAATTAATTAAGCCCTTACATTACTTGCTGGTCACAGCTATTGGTCTATATTAATGGCATTTGAGAATTGAGTATTACCTACCTCAAACTGAATAAGGACAGTCCCACTTTCCAGCCCTTTCCTTAGCTGCTCGATAGACTCCTCCAGTGTATCACCACCATATTCGGAACAGATAGGAAGAAGAGATTCTGGGAGATTGTGGGAATCAGCTTCGTCTTCTGATTTAGGCTCCACAAACTGTTTAGCTACTGAAAGATGTACTGAATATTAAAATCTGTTACATACAGCATTAATGTGTTTGCAACACATATTAAAATCTAGCAGCTTGCAAGAACAACAAACTTTGCAAAGACAAGGCCTCAGGAAAGCAAATAGCAACACATTTAACTGCATTTCTTTATTTGATAAACTATAAAAACATTTTATTAGTCAGTTTTCTATGACATTCTTTGCCAACATGTTGAAGAACTGTATTACTGTAGAAACTACTAAGAGTAAAATGTCCTTAAGACCGTTCAGAAAATGAAACTCCTCAAGGAGCCTATCTATGAAGGCAAAGAACTTTACTTCCAAGCACAAAAAGTTTTTTGCTGCAACCTTGTCTTACACAATTAACTGCTGAATAGGCTAATGAATCACAACATCCACCATGGTAAAAAACAAATGAATTTTGCCTAAAAAAGTTTAGAGCATAATTAATGGAATATCTCTATGTAAGTTCGGACCCCCAACAGCAAAATGAACAACGTACATACTTACATTGTACTTCCTTGCCATTAGAGAAGCAACTGCATTATCTTTTGCAATTTCTTACACTAACATTGAAGGAACTAACTTAATAAACTACAAAAAAATTTATTAGTCAGTTTTCTATGACATTCCTTCCTAATATGTTCAAGAACATGTCAAACTTTAATGAATTAATCTACGCACAGTTCTGTCTCTATGCAAGCTATTGTATCACCAAATATGTTCAGCTGTGGTTATTCTCTGCAATGATCAGAATTAGCTCCTACCTGCCAAACTTCAGAAAATGGGGAGATGTTCATACTCATGCCTGTACAAACGACTGGCATGGAGCCACAGGTTATCTTTAGCTAAAAGCAGACTTCTCTTATCTGCAAGTAGGAAGGGGACTAGAAAAGGTAAGGGAAGACTAAGTACTGCATAAAGCCAGTGGAAAGGCCTACAATAATAGGACTGTTCAGGGAAAACAAGACCAAGAGCCCACCTGTCTTCCTAGAAGCACAAGACATTTTAAGTAAAGTAAATGCTACAGAAGTACGTATCATTTAGGCAGGTTTTTTCCCTCCTGTTTCCTAGTGATGCATAATCCCTTCAGATTTTTAAATCTTAATGTAATAAGAAACTCTGTGCAAAGCCCTTCCATAATCGTGTGTGTTAAGGTCTTACCATAGCTCTTAAGGAAAGTAATAATAAACTAGGAGTTTCATATAATCTGAAAGCTCTTGGGATCTGCACGTGTTTAAATATGGAGCAAGCAATACCAAGCTGGATGGGTTCCCCATATTTTAAATATACAGGCTTAAGATGTGCATATTTCAGATTGTCTCCTGTTTGCTGGCAGCAGTTTAGCAAGTAGCCAGCACAGGTCAAGCTCAGTATTGTCACAAAATGTCTATCACAAGAATGAAAAGGAAGAAGAAAAAAAAAAGCAGCAGCAAGCTTATTTGACTTGTTTCATTGTACAATTGTGCTGGGGAATAGCCCATGGATATTTGCAAACACGCAGTTGGGGATTTGTGAAATTATGCTATATTTACATTAAAAAACCCCCAAACTTTTGCAAGGGACTATTTGTTCTTATAGATTTTTAGACTTAAAAAAAAAAGAAGAAATTCTAACTTGATGGATTCTTTGTTGCAGTGGTAAGGACGTATACAGTTAAAACTATTTGTACTACTAATTCAAATGCAGGGGGACCTACTTTTTAGCACAGACCTATTCCCAGTGCACTGAAAACACATCTATGTAAACAGAAGAGGGTATACCACCAAGCATAAGAGCAACAGTCTCTAAAAACATTAAAAGTGAATAAAATTAGCCCAATTACCTTTCCGCCTGACCAAAAGTGCAAGCTCTCTCGTGTGAGATTCTCTGCTGGCTTTTATGAACATGACCACCTGGTCATGCGTGTGCTCTGAGATATCTCGGCCGTTAATTAATACTATTTGATCACCTTCATTCAGTTTTGGAATGCATTTATCAGCCTGTTTCAAGACCAAAAAAACACATTAATGTCATTGTATCCAGTCATGTAAGCAGGAACACACCAGGATATTAAGTTCATCATGTAAGCTAAGTCTTCAGAGTTCTCCTGACAAGGTTTCATCTTCTGTAACAGAAGTTCTATCAAAGGATTCAGATCTAAAGCTGTCTTTCTTGCTTCAAAGCCTCTCAATGAAGATGAGAAACAGTTCAAACAGCATATTGATAGCTATAAAAATAATTTGTATTTATCAAACAGCCACCATCAGATTGCTCTTAAAGATCTAAATTTCAGACTCCAAGCCTCAATAATCACTGGTTATAGCCATTTGCAAATGAATTTCTGGAAAAAGTGCTTTGGGCACATAAGATAACATACTTAAGTTTTTATGCAGTGAATACTGAGAAATCCAAACATGATTTTGATGAACGTAATTTAAGTAACATGACATTCCCCAGGCATGCACTTTTTAAAATTTAAAGAAATCCATACACATTTCATATTTTTGTTATTTATCAGATTCTTTTTTGGTGTATATCAAATGATATCTACAAATAGAGAACATTCTTCCTCACTTCAATTCACTGAAAGTTTTAACAAGAAGATGCAGGTAAGTACTCAACCTATGATGCTCAAGTACCCTGGCATTTGTGACAAATTCTTTTGCCACCTGTGCTGCAGAGAACACTGAAACAAGGTTTTCCCCATCTCAAATGAAAACTTACATTATGTCTTGTCTTAGATACAGCAATTTAGATTAACTGCTGAACTCTAGGGTTTGCTTGGCTTTTTTCTGCCACACTTCTTAGTATGCTTAGCTCCAAGTCCAGTGAAAAGCAATTCAAGCTATGGCCAGAATATGATCATGATGCTACAAAGATGATTAAGGGACTAGAGCATCTCTCGTATGAGGAAAGGCTAAGAGAGCTGGGAGTGTTTAGCCTAGAGAGAAGGTTCAGGGGGAATCTTGTCAATATATATAATTGAAGGGAAGGTGCAGAGAAGATGGAGCCAGGCTCTCTTCAGTGGCGCCCAGTGACAGTACCAGAGGCAATGGGCACAAACTGAAACACAGGAGGCTCCATCTGAACATCAGGAAACACTTTTTTATTGTGAGGGTGACTGAGCACTGGAGCAGGTTGCCCAGAGATATTGTGGAGTCTCCCGCCTTGGAGTATTCAAAAGCCATCTGGACATGGTTCTGGGCAACTGGCTCTAGGTGACCCTTGAGCAGGGGGGTTTGGACAAGACGACCTTCAGGTCCCTTCCAACCTTCTGTGATTCTGTAATGTGAATGTGCAGGATTCTACAACCTTTGAGTGTCAAGTAGTGCAACAATTTTATTTTCATTGCTGTCCTAATTTTTATTTTGTCTAGGAAGTACCCAGCTACACAAGAGTGATATACTTATATATACACTCCATTTAATTTGTTATATGAATGAGACATAGACTTTTACTGTTATTCTCTATTCATAGTTGTTCCCATGTATTTCCTTAATGCCAGCACAGGTATCCTGAACTTCATTCATCCAATGTTATTAGCCCTATCAAAAAAACATCACCAACCCCCAAATGTGAACAAGATGTTCTAATTAGCCCCAATCCTGGTTATGCCTTGCACTGATGGCTCCTAAAGTAAGTTTATCAGTGATGTACTACATTACCTAGTAAAAAATAGGAAGAGATGGAAAGGAGAAGTGATAATGACAGAACCAACGAAAAGAAAAATGCAGAATAAAAAAAAATAGAGACAAGGATATGAGGAAGAAAACAAATTGGGAGCCACTTGTGTCAGAGAATAAAGTAAAAGGAAAGAAAACTTAAGACATGTGTAAGTGCCACAAAACAGACAAAGGAGAAGAGAAACAAGAGAGAGAAAAGAAAGATGTATGCAAGAGGAAAAAATTCCAAGCAGAAAAGCTGCTTAAAAATTAAAAAAAGGAATAGTTTCCCCCAACTTTTTCCTAAGAAATAAGGAAAGAAAATAACGAAGGATAGGGAAGATTGACAATGATTAATAAAAAAGACAAACGTAAACAGAAGAAGAATGGGAATTAGGAACAGCCATGGTGTTCTTCAACACTGATTTAACTAGGTATTCACAGCTCCCTAAAAGCTCCCTTGCCATATTTTGTACAATTTATAAAGGCAAGACTGAAGAATGCAACTATAAATGATTGATTGATTTAATCATTCTAAAATATTATTGTTTGAGATATAAATTAGTCTCTAGTGATATAAAGACCATATCAGGTCAGTCTAGGAGAGTCAAGAAGTCAACAAGAACAAGGAGGGAATGGTTTCTGATCTCCTATATTTGCCTATAATTTAGATTTCTTGGCTGGTTGCTGGCTATTATTCTTTATTACAGATGGAGATTAATATCTTTGCTCAAAGAAACTTCGTTAATCATGCGACATGTTAATGCCTCAGCTCTCTTACTTGAATCATCTGACTACATAAAATATATCTTGCAGGAGAATTAATTCCTTCCATGTAAGCATAATTTGTAGATTTTTCAGATACTGAGCTTTTCCAGACAATTAATTATGTCAAAAGCTTCCTGTCCTATTGACACACCCAATGTTTCATTTTATGCTAATCACCTTGTTATTGCTCCAAGAAGCATGCATACTATTTTTCAATGAGAAGCTCTATTACATAAAACCATAACAACTTCTTTAGCACCTTAGGACATTAATACTGTTTGTGAAAAAAATCAGTATAGGACTTTAGTTAAAAAAAAAAGTACCAGATGCAATAAATGGTTGTTCTTTAGATTTAATGCTCTCGCACAACAATTTTGGCTACTCTATCCTACATACTGGATTGCTGCTCTATTAGAGGGGGATTTTTAAAAGAACTTTAGGCCATGAAAGCGAAAATAGTGCCTTATTTTGGTAAGTAGATTTGCTTCCCCTGCTCCACAAGTAATACAGATCTTTTTTGTAGCAAAGTGGGAAAAAGTGACCTACAAACCTGAGAAATCATCTTAGCAAATAATATTACCAAACATACTGGTTCTGGCTGGGATGGAGTTAATT